AATTTAGAAGTTCAGCTGTAGTTCATCATATCAATATATGATATGCATTATTTGAACACCTTTATAGTAACTCATATTTTCTATTGTGTAACATTGATATATTAGCGTATGCGTGTGTGTATTTACGCACATATGTGTATATAAAGGTAGCCTACGTATATATTTCATGATTTCGGCACAAAGTCGGCAACTCTCGCATCTCTCACGTGTCAACACACACGATCGTTCAATCCAAAATAAATTTAAAGCTTCGTTGGTTCAGTTTCAGTGCGATTTACGCTTCTCTGATGTAACCGTAGGAGTCTGCTGTAGTAAATGATGCATTGTCTTTGTGAAGGAGCTTAGGACTTATTCATGTGATAAGGTTTGTTTTTGTTTTGCTAATTAAGGTAAATTTTGTGTTTGTAGTTGTGGATGTCTGTCTCCCTGCCTGCCTGCCTGTGTGTCTGTCCGTCCGTCCGTCCGTCCGTCTGTCTGTCTGTCTGTCTGTCTGTCTGTCTGTCTCCCTGCCTGTTTATCTGTCCGTCTGTCTGTCTCCCTGTCTCTCTGTATGCTTGCTTGTCTCTCTGTCTGTCTCTCTATCTGCCTGTCTGTCCGTTTGTCTGTCTCCATTTCTCTCTGTCTGTATGTATGTTTGCTCGTCTCTCTGTCTGTCTTGTCTCTCTCCCGTCCCTCTGTCTGTCTGTCCCTGTCCTGTCTGTCTGTCTCCCTGTCCCCTGTCTGTCTGTCTCCGTCCTCTGTCTGTCTGTCTCCCTTCCTGTCTGTCTGTCTGACAAAACCACAAAGGAACTGTCCTGAATTAGGGGAGATGCAGTCATGCTTCAAGTTGGAGTCCATTATCGTAATTATCATTGTTTATAAGGAGGTGACTACGAGTACGGCAGAAAGGCCCCCGATTATTGCCCTGCGCATACGTGGTGAAACAAGCAAGATGGCGGTTAGATAAGGTTCGTAATTATTACCCTGAAATAACGTTTATATGCCCATATGCAGACATGTACCGTAAGCCTAACCGCGAGAAACCGGATACGGCTGCCGTACGCGTAACACCGGCCTTATTTTGATGATCATTATTATAATTATATCCAGTGGCGTGCAGAGGTTTGGTGATGCCCGGTGCAACTCCCTGGTTGTATGCCCCAAAGACTCAAGTATAAGGCCTAGGACTGAAAAAAGAATATGAGAAAGGGAGATATTTTGAATATGCAGACACAGATGAACCATGAAATAAACGCTATTCGATATAGATATAGGCCAATGTTGCGCGTACGCCAACCGTATCCAATTTCTCATATGCGAACCTGTTTATGTAATAAGTACGAACCTAATCTAACCTAATATAAGTACGGGTAATAAGTACGAACCTAATCTAACCTAATTGAAAGTAGTATAATTTCGTACCAAGATTTCGCGCAGGACACCAATCGGAGGCTTTTCTGCCGTACTCGTAGTCACTTTCTTTGATATGAATTTCAAAATCACTCGATTGTTTCCCTCTCTGGATGCTCCCCCCCCTCCTTTAAATGCCGAAAGCCCCCTCCCCCCCCTTCCTCCCGCCCTCAGCACGCCAGTGATTTTCTCCAATAACTACCATTATTATCATCATCATTATTGTAATAATTATTATGCACTCCCTCTTTATCAATTTTCCTTTTCAGTTAGCATCAATCCTTTTTATGTAATATTCTTTATACTTTTTTTCCTTTTTTTCTCAACTTTATTTTCATTTACCTGTTTTTAATTCCTTTTTCGTTGTTTTTTTTTTCTTTCATTCCCACTTTTTATTACATTTTTCCTCCTCTTTCCAGCCCTCGCGTTCACAGCCGCGTTCAAGAATCCTTTTTTTCTCAACTTTATTTTCATTTACCTGAATTCCTTTTTCGTTGTTGTTTTTTTTCTTTCTCATTAAATTTCCTCCTCTTTCCAGCCCTCGCGTTCACAGCCGCGTTCAAGAATGACACGACCTTCCCGCCCATTGTCCAAGGGGACTGGTTCAGCTGGGAGGATGGGCGGGGCAAGGAGACCGAGATCTTCCAGAACGAGATAAGTGGGCGGGGCAAGCCTGTGGACCGGCGCGTGATTCGTCGAGACATCTACGAGTACGTCTTCGCCCACCCATCGGGATGCTTCGTCTGTTCCCGGTTCGTCGTCAGGTCGTGGAATGTGATGGAGAGATCAGACAGTGAGTGTTGATTGGCATCTTCATCGTCATTATCACCGTCATTATCACCGCCATCAGTCAGTATCATCAATAATCATCTGTCAGTCAGTCAGTCATCACTATCATCATTATCACCGTCATCATCATTAGTATCACCATCATCAGTCAGTCATCACTATCATCATTATCACCGTCATCATCATTAGTATCACCATCATCAGTCAATCAACATCACTGTCATTAATATTCATCACAATTGTTATCATCACCGCCATCATTATTATCAACATTATCATCACTTTTATTACCATCATCCTCACTTTCCTCATCATCATCAATCAATAATCGTCATCATCAGCAATTATCATTATTATCATCATCATCACCATTATCAGCATCATCACTATCATTACCATCCTCATCCTCATCATCATTACTATTGTCATCACCTGTATTAATATCCTGAAATATAATTATATAATCATTATCTTCCCAGCTGCAAATAATACAATCAACGTTTATGTTTGAAAAATATATTGATTTAAACATAGTCTGAACTCCATGGATATATTGCATGTGAAAGAATAATAAAAAGGCAATCTTTATCGATTTGGCAGTGTATAAACACCGCAATTTTTGTTGGGATAATTACAACAAGGCTTCTTGGTGCATTCCTGGATTTATGTGGCTTGATAATTTCTTTCATGACATGAAATTGTGTGTGTGTATGCTGTATGTTTCAGATACACATATGCTCACTTTTACGCACACATACACATACACGCACGCAACGCACGCACGCACGCCACGCACATACACAAACACACACACACACACACACACACACACACACACACACACACACACACACACACACACACACACACACACACACACACACACACACACACACACAACACACACACACACACACACACACACACACACACGCAGCACATACACAACACACGTTCATGTCTTGAAGAAGTTATCAGATCACAAATCAAGCAATGAATCTAGTTGCCTTATTGTAATTATTCTAACAAGAGAAGCCGTATTTATGCAACTCCAAATCGATATACTAAGAATATTTGTATTCATATATATACCTGTGTGTGTGTGTATGTGTGTGTATGTGTGTGTGTATGTGTGTGTGTGGTGTGTGTGTGTGTGTGTGTGTGTGTGTGTGTGTGTGTGTGTGTGTGTGTGTGTGTGTGTGTGTCCATAAAATCTATTTATATAAATCTATAAATCTGTAAATGTCTCCAAATGACCAGCAAGAAAAAAAGATAAAAAATAAATAAATAGAAATCAGTAAATAAATAAACAAATTAAAATAAGACAGATAAACTAACAAGCCCCCAACGCCCACTTCAGGTTTCTGCATCACGCCCGCATCCCGCAGCAAGGCGCCCACGGCAGCGAACATCTGCGCGTGGCTCGACGACCGGACGGAGGGGTACGTGATGTTCCGGCAGGATCCCTCGCCCATCAACTGCCGCCCTTCGGTCCACGGGCTGTTCCACTTCGCCTGGCAGAATCGCTTCAGGTGAGTCGGGCGTTTGGGTGAGGTGGGGGAAGGGGTGTGGGTGGGGGGAAAGGGTGGGGGAAGGGTGGGCGTGGGGGGAAAGGGTGGGCGTGGTGTGGGTAGGGGGAAAGGGTGGGGGAAGGGGTGGGCGTGGTGTGGGTGGAAGGGGGCGTTGTGGGTAGGGGGAAGGGGGGCGTGGTGGGGGGGGAAAGGGAGGGAGAGGGAGTGTTATTGTTATTGTTTGAGGCATTCGCATTTTGTTTGTTGTTTAATGTATTGTGGTCTGGCTTTGAGATGTGTGTGTGTGTGTGTGTGTGTTGTGCGTGTGTGCGTGCGTGTGTCTGAATATATTTACAGTCACTTCTAAAGGGTTTCCTGTTTGATGCCCCACCGGTCAAACATCCTTCTAAAAGTCACATGGAAGATCACCTTGACAAACGCTCTAATTTTCACCTTTGGGAAATAATGATCAAGAACGTCAATTCCCAACTTCTGCCATCACTGCAATGACATATCGAACCACCCAAAAGTTGTGTTATCTCAGAGATATTCACAATAAACATGCAGTCAGTAAGAACTCGAAGAGAGAAAATGAGTGTCTTATCGGATGAGAAAGAGAGAGGGGAGGGAGATAAAGGGAGAGGGAGGAGATAGAGGGAGGGAGAGATAAGGGAGAGGAGAGATAGAGGGAGAGGGAGGGAGATAAGAGAGAAGGAGGGAGATGAAGAGAGAGAGAGAGAGTGGGTGTGTGTGTGTGTGTGTGTGTGTGTGTCGAGACAGAGAGATGAGAGAGAGAGAGAGAGAGAGAGAAGAGAAAGAGAGAGAGAGACCGACAGCCATACATGAAGACAGAATTACAAATGAATATACAAACATACTATAGATAGAGATACACAGAGAGGCGGAAAATGCAGAGAAAAAGCATATGAGACCCTTCTCTGGAATTTGGTAAATGATGCTTGATAAATCATAGAAAAAACTAACATCTTTTGTTCAGTGTGTATCCTCCCTGTTCCTCAAACCGCCCCTCCACCCCATCTAATGTCTACTTTCACCATCTTTGCGAGAGAAAAAAATGGAGGAAAAAAACTGATACATATTCTAGACGTCTCGTTTCGTCTGTAGGTTTTGCTGTCTCTCTCTCAGGATGCCACATGGCTTAACTTACCCAGGATCCATACACACAAACACTTAAGATAGATACGCAAGTGAATGTATGTATCTGTATGTGTGTGTATGTGCGTGTGTGTGTGTGTGTGGTGTGTGTGTGCCGGTTGTGCGTGTGCGTGTGCGTGTGCGTGTGCGTGGTGCGTGTGCGTGGACAAACGAGAAAGATAGTTACAGTGGAGACTAAACGTAAGAGAGATAGAGTCAACAGACAAACAGACAGCAAGACAAGAAGCAAGAGAGAGAGAGAGAGAGAGAGGAGAGAGAAGGAGGGGAGAGGGGGGGGAGGGAGGAGAGGGAGGGAGGGAGAAGAGAGAGAGAGGGGAGAGAGGGGAGGAGAGAGGAGAGGGAGAGGGAGAGAGAGAGACAGAGAGAGCAGAGACAGAGAGGAGAGCAGAGAGAGAGAGACAGAGACAGAGACAGAGACAAGAAGAGAAGGAGAGCGAGGAGAAGCGAGAGCCGAGACGAGACAGACAGACAGACAGACAGAGGAGACATACCTGACCATACCTCCAGCGACAGAGGCAAAAGTGACCGTTTATGCCGTCGTGTATGGATGCGTCGTTTCGGATTATAAACGGTTAAACTGTCTCCCTTTTAGTATGGTTTACGCAAAAGGAATTTTATTTCGTAATATGTGGATTCGGTAAATCTTTGTTATATCTCTTCTCTTGTCTTCTCTTCTCTCTCTCTCTCTCTCTCTCTCTCTCTCTCTCTCTCTCTCTCTCTCTCTCTCTCTCTCTCTCTCTCTCTCTCTCTCTCTCTCTCTCTCTCTCTCTCCTCTCTCTCTCCTCTCTCTCTCTCCCCTTCTCTCTTCTCTCTCTCTCTCCCTCTCTCTCTCTCTTCTCTCTCTCTCTCTCTCTCTCTCTCTCTCTCTCTCTCTCTCTCTCTCTCTCTCTCTCTCTCTCTCTCTCCTCTCTCTCTCTCCTTCTCTCACTTTCTCACTCTCTCTCTCTCCACTCTTCTCTCTCTCTCTCTTTCCACTTTCTCTCTCTCTCTCTCTCTCTCTCTCTCTCTCTCTCTCTCTCTCTCTCTCTCTCTTCTCTCTCTCTCTCTCTCTCTCTCTCTCTCTCTCACTCCCACACACACACACACACACACACACACACACACACACACACACACACACACACACACACACACACACACACACACACACACACACACACACACATCCTTTCTCTCACAACACGTTTTGACTGCCCTTGCTTACCATTTTAAGATAAAAAACACCTCTACTTACCATGAACTACAAAATTCTACAAATTGTGAAAGTACTGCACCTTACTCCCAAATATAGATTGTCGGTGTCAGGTTGGGTTCCCTAAGTACGGCTCGTGAAATAGTGGTCGGTGCGCCGCGCTGTATGTAAAAAAGAAGTCTTTCTATATATCCTACTCGCATACGCACAATGTGTGTGTGTGTGTATATATATATATATATATATATATATATATATATATATATATATATATATATATATTATATTACACACACACACACACACACACACACACACACACACACACACACACCACACACACACACACACACACACACACACACACACACACACACATATACACACACAAATAAAGGACTACGACGACTGCTTTCGCTCGTCTCTTGCTTTCGTTTTTCTTCTTTCGTACTCAAACCCCCCACAAGCTTCTGGTGCCATAAACAAGAACGGAAAAAAAAACTAGCCTGCCTTAACTGCCCCTCCAAGCCCTTTTTTTTGTAATAGGAAATGGGACGAAACTTACCTTCTAACTTTCAAAAGAGGAGTTGATAATCTGAAAAACAAAACAAAAAAAAAAAACATGCATTTAGATGTAGACTCAGACACACATCGGTCATATGTGTTTTAGTTTTATCGATATGCATTTATTTTTTGTATGATCCTACACACTTACTTTATTTACTAATAGTCTTGATTCTTGTGTATTCCTGATATGTCTGTGAAAGGTATTTACAAATATGCACAGCCTATTTCTTTTCTAATATCAAATCTCGAAATATAATAGATTGATCAATATAGATTAAATACAAATGAAATGATAAGCTGAATATCACCAGATGAATCTGAATATCAAACAAGAAGACTTAATATAAAAATTAACTATAAAGAACAAGAACTTAACCTCTTTTACGAGAGTTCTGAGACGCTCTTTCATTCCAGCTTCACGGGGGAATGCAACCACCCCGGGGCCCTCCTTCGGTCGTGCCAGGAACCAGGCACTCAGTTCCTCATCTCCAACCAGAAATTCGCCATCAACTACAAGAAGTGTCCCGGGATTGGCGAATCTTTTGAAGGACGTAAGTGGAGTATCTTTTTTTTTCTTCTACTTCTTCTTTTCTTTCTTTCTTTTTTCTTTTTTTTCTTTTCTTTCTTTTACCGTTGTGTGGAATGATGGATGTGTTTTTTTTATTCTTTCTTTCTTTCTTTTTTTTGTCAATGGGTATAATGGGTCTTTGCTGTTGTTTGTGGTAGCACAGTATGTAGCTTTTTTTTTCCTTTTTTTTTTTTTTCTTTTCTTTCTTTCTTTTACCGTTGTGTGGAATGATGGATGTTTTTTTTTTAATTCTTTCTTTCTTTCTTTTTTTGTCAGTGGGTATAATGGGTCTTTGCTGTTGTTTGTGGTAGCACAGTATGTAGCTTTGATTGGAAGATTAGTTAAAGAGAATGGAGTATCTGCTTATCCAATTTAGTATTTATTTTAGTATCTCTTATTTAGCCTCAGCGGGAAAAAATACTATAATTGAAGATGAAACAGTAAATATTTAACGTAGATGAGACAGATGTTTTGGAATTTTCCTGAGAACTACATTCATCCATAATTGGACTAATCTTACGCTGATTAGCGTTCAGTATGACAAGTGTCGAAGGAGATATAAACGAAGATTAAAAACATTAAAACGCAAAGGATATAATAATAGTTTTCGATGAAAACCTTCACCACAGTGACACACTAAAAAAATGAATACTTGAAAGGTACCTATCCCATCCCAGTATGAAATGACTCACTCTCACTCATACCCTTCTCCCCTCCCCTCCTCCTCTCCCCTTTCCCTACAACTTCAACCTCCACCCCTCTCCCTTCCCCTCCCCTCCCTACAACCCCAACCTTCACCCCTCCTTTCACCCCAACTCCCCTCCTCTCCTACAACCTCACCCTCCACCTCACCCATCCCCCTGTCCCCTTCTCCCCCTCTCCCTACAACCTCAACCTCCACCCCCACCCACCCTGCTCTCCCTCCCCATACCCACCACCACCTCCTTCCCTCCACCCCCACCACCCCACCCTCCTTCCCTCCACCCACCCCACCCCACCTCCTTCCTCCACCCCCACCCACCCCACCTCCTTCCCTCCACCCCCACCCACCCACCCTCCTTCCCTCCACCCCACCCACCCCACCTTCCTTCCTCCACCCCCACCCCACCCACCCCACCTTCCACCCCCCCACCCCCACCACAGGCGTCGAATTCTCGTGCCTCGGGAACTGGTACGTCGGCAAGAACCACTACTTCGCCGTCGTGAACACGAAGGAGTCCCGCAAGGAGGAGAAGTACAGGTGCTTCGTCAGGAACCGCGAGGACGACCTGTACCTGGGCCACTCCCTGACGCCGGAGTGCTCGGTGCTGAAGACTCCCGAGAACAGCCCCGTCCGATTCAGGCTCTCCTACGGTAGGGGCCAGGTGGTGTGTGGTGGTCGTCGTTGTTGTTTGGGGTCGTCGTTGTTGTTTGGGGTCGTCGTTGTTTGTGGTTGTTTGTTGGGGTCGTTGTTGTTTGGTCGTCGTTGTTTGGGGTCGTCGTCGTCGTCGTTGTTGTCGTCGTTTGGGTCGTCGTTGTTTGGGTCGTTGTTTGTGGTCGTCGTTGTTTGGGGTCGTTGTTGTTTGGGGTCGTCGTTGTTTGGGTCGTTGTTTGGGGTCGTCGTTGTTTGGGTCGTCGTTTGTTTGGGGTCGTTGTTGTTTCGTCGTGTTTGTGGTCTTGTTGGGTCGTCGTTGTTTCGGTTGTTTTGGGTTCGTCGTTGTTTGGGGTCGTTGTTGTTTGGGGTCGTCGTTGTTGTTTGGTTTGGGGTCGTTGTTGTTTGGTCGTTGTTGTTGGGTCGTCGTTGTTTGTTTGGTCGTTGTTCGTTTGTTGCGTTTGTTTGGGTCGGTCGTCGTTGTTTCGTTGTTGTTTGGGTCGTTGTTGTTTGGGTCGTCGTTGTTTGGGGTCGTGTTTGGGTCGTTGTGTTTGGGGTCGTTTGTTGTTCGTTGTTGTTTGGTCGTCGTGTTGTCGTTTGTTGTTTGGGGTCGTCGTTGTTTGTGGTCGTTTTTGGTCGTCGTTTTTGTGGTCGTGTTTGTCGTCGTCGTGTTGTGGTCGTTGTCGTCGTGTTTGTTCGTTGGGGTCGTCGTGTTGGTCGTTGTTGTTTGGTCGTTGTTGTTTGGGGTCGTCGTCGGGTTTTGTCGTTGTTGTTTGGGTCGTCGTTGTTTGGGTCGTTGTTGTTTGGGGTCGTTGTTTGGGGTTCCGTTGTTGTTTGGGGTCGTCGTTGTTTTGTTTGGGGTCGTCGTTGTTTGGGGTCGTCGTTTGCGCTGTTTGTTCCGTTGTTTGGGTGTTCGTTTGTTTGTTTGAGATTTATTTTTGTTTCTTCAGTATTATCATTATCATAATTTCATTTTATTATCATTATTATTATCATCTTATCATCATTGCTATATTATATTATCATCATCTATTAATGATATTATTCATTATTATTTATTATTATTATTATTATTATTATTATTATCATCATCATCATTATCTTCATGATCGTTATTGTTATTATTTTTTTTTATCATTGTTGTTAGCATTATCATTATTGTTAGTACTAATAGCAGTAGTATTATCATCATTCTCATTCTCATTTTCATTATCATTTATATTATTTTCATTATGATTAAACAAGATTATTATTTTGATAAGATTCATATTTTCAGTGACCATAATTTGAACCAAGGAAGAGTAGTAAATAATAAATTTCTTACACACACACACACCACACACCACACAGACGCGATCACCACACACAAACACACAAAGTTACATGACCACATATAGCCACACCATTACATACACGCTCATATCCACACCAATTAACATACCCACACAATTAACATATCCATATACACACCCAATTAACACTTCCACAAATATCACACCAATTGACATACCCGCATACCCACACTGCTTAACATATCCACACACACCCACACCGATTAACATACCCGCACATACCCACACTGCTTAACATATCCACACACACCCACACGATTAACATAACCGCACATACCACACTGCTTAAATATCACACACACCCACATCATTAACATATCCACATACCCACACCGATTACATATCCACACACACCCACATCAATTAACATATCCACACATACCCACACCGTTTAACATATCCACACCAATTAACATACCCGCACATACCCACCACTTTGACATATCCACACATACCCACACCAATTAACATATCCATACATACCCACACATATCACACCATTATATACCCGCACATACCACACTGCTTAACATATCCAACACATACCCACACCGTTAACATTACCACACAGATTAACATATCCACACCAATTAAACATACCCGCACATATCCACACCAATTAACACCCGCACATACCCACTGCTTAACATATCCACACATACCACCAATTAACATATCCACACATACCCACACCGATTAACATACCCACACATACCCACACCAATTAACATATCCACACATGCCGAACATACCCACACCAATTAACATATCCACACATACCCACACCAATTAACATACCCACACATATCCACACCAATTAACATACCCGCACATACCCACACCAATTAACATATCCACACATGCCGACACATACCCCACCAATAACATATCCACACATGCCGACACATACACACAATTAATATCCACACATAACCGACACATACCCACACCAATTAACATATCCACACACACCGACACATACCCACACATACACATCCACACATACCCACACCAATTAACGGCGCTCCCCTTCCACGGACAGCCAAGCACGAGGAGGTGACCCCGGGCTGCCTCCTGCCCCGCAACATGACAGGAAAGTGGATATCAACGGGCGCAGGGGAACCGGAAGTGACCATCAACTCCACGCACATTTCGGAGTCGACGTGGCGAGGGTACAGCACGAAGACGGCCAACTACGTGTGTCTGCAGCAGAGGGGGAACCGCTACCTGACGGCGAAGCTGAGCGTGGAGGGATGGTGAGTTTTTTTTTTTTCTTCTTCTTCTTCTTCTTCTTCTTCTTCTTCTTCTTCTTTCTTTTTTCTTTTTTTCTTTTTTTTCTTTTTTTTTTTTTCTTTTCTTTTCTTTTTTTTTTTTCTTTTCTTTTCTTTATTTTTTCTTTTCTCTTTCTTTCTTTCTTCTTTTTTCTTGTTTTTTTCTTTTTTTTTCTCTTTTTTTTTGGGGGGGTAGATAGGGGTACGGGCGGGGTGGGGAGGGGGTTGAAGTAGGGGAGGGAAATGTGTGTTGTATATGTGTGTGTGGGTGTGTGTGTGTGTGTGTGTGTGTGTGTGTGTGTGTGTGTGTGTGTGTTGTGTTGGTTGGTTGGCTGAGTGAGTGAGTGAGTTTGCATGTTTTTGATGAAAGTCACATTCAAAAAAGACAATAAATCATATGACTGTGTTTGATTCCAAGTTCACATGCGCGTTACTGTTAATTGTCAAAATAAACAATATTATCATTATCATCATTATTATTGTAACTGCCATTATTGTGCATGTGTTCATTGTCTTTGTATATTTATGATTGTGCATTTGTATGTTTCTGTGTGTGTCTTGATAGGTCTGTCAAATTGCTTACATAAATATATACTCGTATGACTGCCTATCCTCTCTCTCTCTCTCTCTCTCTCTCTCTCTCTCTCTCTTCTCTCTCTCTCTCTCTCTCCTCTCTCTCTCTCTCTCTCTCTCTCTCTCTCTCTCTCTCTCTCTCTCTTCTCTCTCTCTCTCTCTTCCCCTCCCTCCCCCCCTCCCTTTCTCTCTCCCTCCCACTCCCTCTCTCTCTCTCTCCCATCCCTCTCTCTCTCTCCCTCCCCTCCCTCTCTCCTCTCTCTCTCTCCTCTCCCCTCCCACTCCCCTCTCTCTCTCCCTCCCTCCCTCTCCTCCTCTCCCTCCCACTCCCTCTCTCTCTCTCCCTCCCCACTCCCTCTCTCTCCCTCCCTCCCTCCCTCTCCCTCCCCCCCCCTCCCTTCTCTCTCTCTCCAGACCTCATAATAAACCCCCTCCACACATTCCTCATAGACCCGAACTCCATAACACTCACTCCCTCGCCCTTTGGACTTCGCAGCCAAACCGAGTACGTGTGCTGAGTTCGTCCCCGCCACCACAACATCATCCGGTACAGGAGGAGCTGGGCGCTGATCTATTCGGATTTCCAAGTGTGCGACTATGCAAATTTCAGGAGTGGGCGGGAGTGGAAGTACGACACGTTGATCTGTAAGTGTCGTGATGATTTGATTGTGATTGTTATGAAGATTATTGCTATTAAGGACGACGATGATGATAGTAGTTGTAGAAGTAGTAGTAGTAGTGTGTAGTAGTTAGGATAATGA